TTATTATTTCATTTTGTTAACTAGATTTCACTTATATAACGAAAGTAAAAGTTCTTATTTTGAACAGATAGACATTCAATTCATGATTGTTACGATATGTTTAAAATTTTAATATAACTAATTAGCATAATTGGTGAAATGTCAATTGTTCACTTTTACCATATTATGTTTGTGGCCTAGACTTCCAATTGGGCTCATGTTTGGGGCTCAAATAGAAAAATTTAGGCTTATGGGTTTCTCCTTAGGATTGATTAGTTTGTAAATTCAATGGGCTGGATTTGTTTGTATATTGAACTGAGGCAATGTTTAATCAACCCACTATCTCCTTATGTTAGAGATGAGAGTTATAGATAATGTTTGTGTTGGGTTGGGAGGTATATATATATATATTTGCATGCATAACTATGTAAGTATTTGAGGTAAATTCAAGATGTCTACAATCCAAAATGAAGTGATCAATTCAAGCCATGAGTAAGGCATATACATACCCGTGCAAGAAAATCAAATTATATAAATAATTGCAATTAAGAATTCGGGTCAAATTAATTGCGACGATTTTACATCATAGGTCGAGCTAAAAACTGGCGCCACGAATATTTTTATCAACGGAATTAGCCGTGGATGATCTGTTAATGATATCTACAATATGGTTGTGGATGATGATTGACGTAAAAAATAAAAAACATACCGAAGATCAATTTGCCACTAAACTCATTGGCGACGGATTTTCTTCATTCGTTAACGATGAGTAAAACAAAGTGTTGGTATTTTTTCTATTATTACTTATTGCAAGTCTTGTGGTATATATATGATACACGTACAAATGAACATCTTTGAGTAAGGAATACCCGATTTACAATTCATATCATTGTTCGTACTGAAACTTACAAAATCTTCTTTTTGAAGATTTAAGAAATTTTCATCTCCAAATTTTCAATTTCATACTTTTTTTGTTTTAATTGACATAAACCCAAGTCATCTAATAAAATAAGGATGATACTTTGGGAATGGTCGGGATTAACATTATTTGAGTTGACAAATACATATAATGGATGCAAATAAATAAATATAGCCTTAATTTGTTGATACGTTCATGACTAGAATAAAAATGTTCTCCTTAAACTATACAAAAATATCTAAAAAATTTTTACCGAATTATTTTTGTTCTAAATTCTCTCTCCACACTTCAAAAAATGTAACAAAATTTTACTTATTCATTAACTTTCTCCAACAGTGTTTGAGTTAACTAACAAAGCTCGTGATATCGGCAAACACTATTAAAAAAACTTAACGAAGAGGTAAAATTTTGTCACGTAAACTCATGACATCGACAAATCACATCATGTTACATTTAAATTTGTTGACGTGGTGTCCACGTCACCACTCGCGCGGATTTTATGTCAAATTTTTTTTTGATCGCCCTTTTTTTTTTTCTTTGCAATTATCATCTAATCTATCCTCTAGAGCAAAAGAATTCCCTCTCCTCGGCGTCCGTTGTCTTCTTTACAACATTGTTTGCCTCCTCTATTTGTTATTCACATGATCGTCTTCTTCGTCGTGAGCTTTCCGCAAACCGAGAATCTAAATACAGCGTAGCAATCTCATGGAAAATTTTCTTGAATGCTGAAAAGATTCATTCATTAAAGAGTAGCAAACAGGAGCATTTATTTGATTGTGATTTCTTGTAGTAAAAGGAAAGGTAACTACATCAAGATTATGAATAATAGATTTCTTAATCACTTATTAGCAGTTAATCTCATCATTAATAAGTGCCAGTGAAGGTTTCTTTTTTTCTCTCGTTCTCATCTGATTTTGCCTGCAACTTCACCTGTTCTTTGTCAACTCTTTCTTGCTAAATCTTTACTCTTTTTTTTTTTTTCTGGATTTTGGGTCTCTTTGAAAGCTCTCAAATCTTTTTCTGTTTGAAAACCTAATCCTTCAATCTGCTCAAGTAAGTTCCAAACAAAGAATCTCTCTCTCTCTCTCTCTCTCTCTCTCTCTCTCTCTCTCTCTCTCTCTTTCTCTCTTCCGATTCTGGTCTCTGAGAAAACCTAGTATTAGCTCTTCTTCCCTCTTGTCTCTCCTCTCTCCCACCGAACCATACTCGCCATCTTCATCGCCATTTACAGGCAAACATTCAGATCTTGGCAACTTGTTCTAAATCTTTGCACCAGGTGTTCTTCAACCAGCGAATCACGCATACAACAACCAAAGCGTGAAAAAAAAAAAGAAAAAAAGATTTGATGATCTAACTAGTAAAATGCAAAACACAAGAAGTAGGAGCTAGAGAACAGCGTAAATTCCAATACAAATTTTCTTATAAGCACATGAATCCCTTGATAAATCTTTATTAACTTCTATTCTTTCAGAACCAAAAAATGTAAATGTATATATATATATATATATATATATTTGTGAAGATTCAATGTAGGTGGTTATAATTTTTAATAAATAAAACTTGCAGTATCTATATAAATATACGAGAAATATCACTACAGAGAGATATGTCCTACAGCATGTCGTCTTGTAATTGACTGATGGTTCATTATATATATATATATATATATATTTGTAATTTTGCTTCAATTTCCAAAATGCTATAGTTATTCTTCATCATTATATAAATAAAAGTTAAAAATATATATAATAATATATAATAATTTACAATAATATATATCCTCTTAACTCACTAAATAGTTTTACTCTGTAATTATTTTGATAATTACTGTGGAAAAAAAATAAAAATATTAAGATAGAAAACACTAATATAGTAAAATAAAAATAAAATTACATTTTTATAATTGAACTAATTAAGTTAAAGAAATAAGTTGGTGGCATACATAAATCATTTCCTTCAATAGCTAGTGCTACATATACATCTATATATATATATGTAAGACATATATATATATATATGTCTATATGTATGTATGAATCAATGTGGGTTGGGAGCTGTCATGAGCATTTTCCCAGTCAAGCCACAGAGAAGAGCCTCTCTTGGTACATGACCTAAACGATTGACTCCTTCAGCAAACAAAACTCCCATGCCCATATGCAAATGAGGCTCTATATGACAGTGAAAAAACCACACTCCCGGATTATCAGCGACGAATCTCAACGCGGTCCATCCAAAGGGGAAAACCACTGCAGTGTTTTTCAGCGGCGGATTCTTCAAATTAAATTTCTCATCATCTTCTCCCTCTTTAAACTTTCCTTCTCCGTACCCAAGCACCCAAAAATCGTGCCCGTGCAAGTGCCACGGGTGTATCTCACTCGTGTTCCTCTCCAGTGCATTGCTATTTTGAAGAATTACATCAATCGTTGAATTAAATTTAAAAACGTAAATACCGTCGCCCAAAGTGGAATTAGGGTTTACTGGCGGTTCCATCACGTTGTATTCTTTAGGAAAACTCTCAGGAGGAGAACGATGGTCGAAAGCTGTTTTGAGATTGAATTTGATTGAACCCAGATAAGGAGTTCCAGATACCTTGAGGGAGACGTTGTTGATAGCCCATTTGATGCGACCGTCTATCAAGTTCTGGGTGTTGAGGAGGACGAGTCGCCGGTGATGTTGCCTTGGCGGAGGAGCGGAGGAGCCAGCGAGAGGAAAGAGTCTGTTGGCAAAAGATTTGCTTCGGGCGAAATCGTTCCATATGGGAGTGACCGGAGGAGGGGAAGGAGGGAGTTTAGATGTCGAAGTGGTATTGTAGTTTACAATGGTTAGGGCTTGTGGAGTGTTGGGTTTTCTTCCTCGAACTCCAATGGCAATCCAATAATTTTGGGACGGTTTCTGGTTTGTTTTTAGTAACACCGAGTAACTTTCGCCGGAATAAATGTCAATATCTTCTACTTCGAATGGTTCCACGTAGTTTCCATCTGCTTCCACTACAATCATTTTGTGATCCTGTAAATTTAATTAAAATTCATTCAATTGTCTGATCAAAAGAAATTTACAACAAGTACCTACGCTTATATACTTACATACTTATATATAGATATGGAGATACATACTTTTATATACTTTCATATAACTGTTAGTTGAGGCAGGTGATACTTTGATATTATTTGATATCCAAATTCACGTAAAAATTATTAAAAAAATACAACATGTCGACCCCGCCATTGAAAAATCATTCACGCGTTTTGATTGTGTTCTTCAATTATTACCATTATTATCAACCTCACTTCTTATATGTATATATATATATATATATTTAATCATCTTTTATATAATCATGTGCTTCTTCCATTCCTCTCTATATATATCATCATATTCTATATCATCTTTTATATAATCATATGCTTCTATTCCTTTCTCTCTCTCTCTCTCTCTCTCTCTATATATATATATATATATAAACATATAATCATATTCTATATCATCTTTTTCTGTTGGTTCGTGGAGCACATGATGTCTTTTTCTTCTTTTACATTTTACCCATTTTTTTAGTAGTCAAAAGATTAAGTGTGTTGACCTAGAAGACGAATTTTAATTATAATATATACATATAACATTATATAATAATATTCATTGTATCTACATGTTAATGTGTGTGTGTTTCTTTTGTGGGTAAACACGTTAGGTATGTGTTTTTTGTATGTGATGTGTTTGTATACATACATACATACATACATACATACGTATATATATGTGTGTGTGTGTGTGTTTACCTGAATAGCTAGGTTGAGAGAAGATAATGCGGTGGTGCTGGCAATCCTAAGTCTGTAGGTCTTGTTCGGCAGAACATGAAGAATTTGAGGTGCGCACTGTTCGTTCCCTCTGAATTTGCACTGAGGAGTCGACGTGTTGCTAACATGCGCCGCCACGGAACAGTTGAACTGTCCCCTTCCATTAATCAACAGACTCTGTGCATTTATTTAGTAATTTAAAATTTAATTAATTAATTAATTAAATTAATAACCGTTTTATTTTGTTAATTAACTAACATATATACATTAATAAAATACAATTAATTAATAATTTATAAATTCTTTTTTTAAAAAATATATAATATAGTATATATAATTTTTATACTAAGTAAAAGTTGAATATTTAATTTTCAACTTGTTGAAAGTGAAAAAGTAGGGTTGTTGATAACTTAATTTATAAGAAATGTTGAAATTAGGGAATACACTAAATTAATACATTTTGCTATGATTATATATAGTGGTGCCATACAACTAGCCACTAGGAGGGCCATTATAATACATATATATATATATATGTATGTATAGTTATAAATAATGGGTATCATGTGATATGTATATATATATATATATATATCACAATGCCTACTTTTACTATTATTATTATATTATTACATGTTATGGGAGACTATATATAATTAATAGTAATATGCTATTTTGGATTTTTATAAATACTTGGGAACCACATTTAACACAAAATATGATCACCAAATCTTTTCATTATATATATATATATATATGTATATATGATTTATTATATTTGTCTTTGCATAGAGGCATGCATTATATACAAATTATTTCTATTCTTTTGCCCAATTTTGATTTGAAAGTTGATAAAAATATATTTAAAATATAAAAATTATATAATGTAATGCGTGTGTAATTTAATAAAAAATAAAAAATAAATATTTACATTAAAAAAATATTTATTAATTTAACGAAAGTAATTAATAAATTAAAGAACTGATAACGTTACCTGGGGTTCACCGATCCAACGAAACGGTACAGAGGAGAGACCAACTTCTTGGCGGGCAATGCTCCGGTGCCACCAGTCACTCAGTAATAAATTGAACTCGCCATCGTAATCAAACGGTTCTTTCTCTCCTTCTGCCACGTCGACAATCAGAGATCCGTACAACCCTGCTGATCTTTGCATTCCGTAGTGTCCATGATAAAAATATGTTCCCGCCTGCACCGTATCACACACTCCGTATGTTTAGTAAATCCTCTCTACTGGGGAACTTGTGAGTTCAATAGAATTATACATTTTCCCCGTATGTGTAATAAAAAATTTATACAATAATGAGTGTGTGTGTGTGTGTGTGTGTTATATAATTTTAAAATTATATACGTATATATTATATATTTTCTTATATATAAATATATATATTTTTAATAAAAAATATTTTATAAATTAAAAAAATATATATATATATATATAAGAATTATGTATTAAAAAAAGAAGAAAAAAAAAAATAAACCTTATCAAGGAGGAAGCGGTAAAGGAAAGTCTCTCCGGGATTGATAGGACACTGAGAGACTCCTGCAGTACCGTCTGCCCATGGCGTTCCAATCTGCAGAAAATCATTGCACGTTTTATTATCCACGTGGGATATATACATATACCTATACATATACATACATATATACATAGACAGTAAATACATATTACGTGTGTTTGTGTGTGTGTGTGTATATATATATATATGTATGAATATGTATATGTAAGAAGTGGAAGAAGAAGAGGAAGAGGAAGAGGAAGAGGAAGAGGAAGAAAGACTTCTGATTCCGTGCCAGTGAATGCTATACATAGATAGATTATGTACATACGTATATACATACATATACGTGTGTTTGTATGTACATATATATACATATGTATGTATGCATGTATAAGAATTGGAAGAAGAAGAAGAGGAAGAAGAAGAAGAGGAAGAAGAAGAAAAATAAGAAGAAGAAGAAGAAGAAGAGGAAGAAGAAGAAGATGTCTGATTCCATGCCAGTGAATGCTGTACATACATACATATATACATAGACAGTAAATACATATTACGTGTGTTTGTGTTTATATATATATATATGTAAGAATTGGAAGAAGAAGAGGAAGAGGAAGAGGAAGAAAGACCTTTCTGCTTCCGTGTCAGTGAATGCTATACGTACATAGATTATGTACATACGTATACATATACGTGTGTTTGTATGTACATATATATACATATGTATGTATGTATATATGTATATATAAGAATTGGAAGAAGAATAAGAAGAAGAAGCCCTGTTAGATTCCATACCAGTGAATTTCATAGCCATCATAAATTAACTTATTAGTGTAATGAGCAACATTTGTGTCGCCTTTCAATACTATAATAATTTCCCCAGGAGCATTCTCCAGGAGGGCCAGAAAGTGACTTAAATCACCATAAAACAAGAACATGGATTTCTTCACTGTCCATAAAAAGGCCGATATTAAGAACAAGGCTGAAGAAACATTCATCATTACCATCACCATCACCACCATCATCATCCACCATAATCTTCTTCTGTAAACTCTTTCGCCACTGGAGTATTCTGACTCCATCTTCTTCTTTCTTTTCTTCCCCCGGCTCTCTCCAGACACACAGATCTGCCTTGGTGTATGTATATATATATATATATATATATGGACTGCATGTACTGAACAGTTGTTCAGGTATATATAGAGTTCTCTGGTTCTCTTTTTTTCTTTCTTTTAAATTTATTATTATTTAATGTAAATTTATAATAATATATTTATAAAGTGATTAAATTCTATATTTTTATTAAAATTAAAATTCTTGAACTTCAAATCAAATATCCTTTTTATATTCAAGCACACCCTGTGTACTTCATTTGAAATGAGTTATTTATATATATACACACACACACACACACACATATATATATACACGTTTTGCAACTATACATACTTAAAAAAATGAGAAGTTAAGATTATAAATCTTGTTTACAAACTAAGTACAGCTCCTTAACCCTTTTACAACTAAGTACTATTCAGAACATGTTAGTAAAAGATTTTCTACAACTAAGCAAGC